TAATATAAAAAATATAATATAAAATATATAATATATAATATATAATATATAATATATAATATATAACATATAACATATAATATATATACATACATACATAAATACATACATTATGAACATGTGATTCTCAGTAGGTTTGTGCCCACCCTAAATGGCCGAGCACCACCATTGCTGAGTGGCCCCCAACCCTTCCCCGCCTCCCATCGCTTCTCAACCAGCTTCTCCGCTTCCTTTGTGGCGCGGCCCAGGGAGGCCGCGCGCTGTGCGCGGCGACGCTCCACAGCCTTCACCTGCCAATGGGTAATGGTTACCATAGGAAAACGATAGGAAAACCATAGGAAAATGGTGGTTTTACCCGCTGGTAAACTAACATAACGATGGAAAATCACCATCTTTAATAGGTAAATCAACTATAGATGGGCCATTTTCAATAGCTATTTTGACATAACCAGAGGGTATCTCATCCCCAAATGGCTAGGTTTATGATATCTGTTTAATATTTTCACCACATGACTGGAGATCTGAAGATATGATATCCGTATGCTACTGGAGTTGCTGTGTGTATAAATGTGTGTATATATATATATATACATACTTATAATGAGGTTATACATATAGGTAGAAAACTCATGATATACATCTACATATATAGCCTTTTCCCTTAAACTAATGTAATATACCCCCCCCCCAGGCAACAATTGTGAAGTACTAGCCCTGTTCATTTTGTCGGCCCCTACGTTGGGATATGGTGGGATGTTTATGTCATACCGGCTAGGCATCCCAATTCAGGATTTTTGTGGTTCAACCGGTCAACGGGTCATCTGCGCACATTGAAAGCGGGTCATCTGCGCACATTGCAAACAAGTCATCCGCGCACAGAGAAACCGGGTCATCCGCGCACAAAGAGCGGTCATCCGCGCACATTGATGCTGGGTACCAGCCATGTAGGCTTTGGTTGGGGGGTTGGGGGGGGGACAAAAGCATCATTGATGCTGGGAACAAGGGTGGGATCCATGGATTTAAAACATCACTTGCCTCAGCCATTTAGGGTTTGGTTGGGGGGAGTTGTGTGAGATGAGTTGTGTGAGTTGTGAGATGAGAGGAGTTGTGTGAGATGAGTTGTGTGAGTTGTGAGATGAGTTTTGTGAAAGAACTTGGGTGAAGTTCAGTGAGAGGACACGAAAGCAGCTCCACCAAATGCCACACGAAAGCAGCTCTTGAGTGAGTTGAGTTGTGTGGGATGAGTTGAGTGAGATGAGTTGAGTGAGATGAGTTGTGTGAGTTGAGTTGTGAGAGATGAGTTGTGTGAGATGAGTTATGTAAGTTGTGAGAGGAGAGTTGTGTGAGATGAGTTGTGTGCATTGTGTGAGACAACTTGGGTGAAGTTGAGTGAGAGGAGGAGCAGGAGGAGAAGGAGAAGGCACGGAATACAAGCCTAAAAACAAAAACCCCACACAGAGATGTGAGGAAAAAAACACACAGTGATGAGTTGTGTGATGATGTGAAGAAAAAAACAACAAGAAGAATCATGTTACAGAGATACAATGACAAAATCACACAAAAGTAACGTGCACAGACGACCAACGTCTGACGTGCACAAACGACCCACTTTTGACGTGCACAGACGACCCCCCAACCGGTTGAACCCCCCAATTTCCTGGTGAAATCACAATTTTTGGTGGTTCAACGCTCATTTTCGATGTGGCAGTGTGTCAAAACCTTGTACCCCTTCTGTTCACATCAAAATAGCTGTGATTTATGGATGTTCATCCCACTAATAATGGTATTAATAGGTATTGATCCATAGCCATGTGTCAACCTCCATTTCTGTTGTCCCCACGCTTCCCAGCTGCCTCCTGCCGCTGCTTCTGCCGCATTGCAGCCTCTTCGGCCTTCAGGGATTGCCACGCCTTGCGCTGTCGACACGCCTGCGCCCGGATGGTCTTCATCAACAAATGGTTTTGATCCGAAAAATGACCAAATTCTGGGTCCAAACATATAGCTACCCCTGTTTAAGATCAAAAAAAACTAATGCAATTCATAGTTCTAAGATGTTCTAAGCCATATTTTAATTGGTTGGTTAAATCCCAATTTTTGTTCGCCAAATTCCCATCTTTATCCCAATGTATCCTCGCTTTTCAAGCCATGGTATTTCTGCCAGGACTCGCCTCCAAACATCTCAAGGCCTCCTGGAACCCGCATAAGCGGAGCATGGCCAGTTGGACCATAAAGGATGTCCAAACATGTCGTGAAGCCAGCATCATGTGTCATAAATCCATATACTGTATGTATGTATGTATGTATGTATGTATGTATGCATGTGTGTATGTATGTATGTACGTAGGTATGCATGTGTGTATGTATGTATGTATGTATGTATGTATGTATGCATGTGTGTATGTATGTACGTAGGTATGTACGTATGTATGTATGTATGTATGTATGCATGTGTGTATGTATGAACGTAGGTATGTACGTATGTATGTATGTATGTATGTGTGTGTGTGTATGTATGTATGTATGTATGTATGTATGTATGTATGCATGTGTGTATGTATGTACGTATGTACGTATGTACGTATGTACGTATGTACGTATGTACGTATGTACGTATGTACGTATGTACGTATGTACGTATGTACGTATGTACGTATGTACGTATGTATGTATGTATGTATGTATGTATGTATGTATGTATGCATGTGGGTATGTATGTACGTAGGTATGTACGTATGTATGTATGTATGTATGTATGTATGTATGTATGTATGTATGTATGTATGTATGTATGCATGTGTGTATGTATGTACGTAGGTATGTACGTACGTACGTATGTATGTATGTATGTATGTATGTATGCATGTGTGTATGTATGTACGTAGGTATGTACGTATGTATGTACGTAGGTATGTACGTATGTATGTATGTATGTATGTATGTATGTATGCATGTGTGTATGTATGTACGTAGGTATGTACGTATGTATGTATGTATGTATGTATGTATGTATGTATGTATGCATGTGTGTATGTATGTATGTACGTAGGTATGTACGTATGTATGTATGTAATGTAATGTAATGTAATGTAATGCAATGCAATGTAATGTAATGTAATGTATGTATGTATGTATGTATGTATGTATGTATGCATGTGAGTATGTATGTACGTAGGTATGTACGTATGCATGCATGCATGCATGCATGTATGTATGTATACATATATATATATATATATACGCATGAATATAATGACAATAATCTGACGTCAAATGATCATATCTAGATTCTACATAACATTAGACAGAATCATCAGGAGTCAGTTATATATACAGTACATAGAAGAACTGGTCTGAAATCCCCAACCAGAATCCTTCTAGGGCCTGTTTTGATGTTTGACCCAAGATTAGCCAGCACTTGTGGCCAGATTGTTGCAAGGTTGCTACTATTTAAGATCACATGTCACCATGCCCATTGTCGTTGGTCTCTTTTCAGTCCGAATATTATTGCAGGGAAATCCTGCCAATCTGATACCCCCCCCAAGAAATGAGGATTGTAGTTCCAAAAAATGCAATTTTTGTGTGTCCGGGAGCTCACACAAAATCGTCAAGAAACTGCTTTCCTCTTAGCTGAAGCTCTCTACTATATCCTGAAGGTGGCCAAAATGACCCATGTTCTCTGAAAAATAATCGAATGAGGAACCCAAAACGTCCATGTTACAAGTGCACCGTTTGGGCAAAGCCTCTGATACCACCAGCATGATCGTCACAACTTTTGAAGGTAAAACCACGCCAAATTGCAGTTCCAGCACGCATGTCTCAAAGATGTGCCCACAGTCACAGTGCACTTTCGAATATATAATAATGTGGGCAACCCAATAATAAACCTACCATTTGGGGATGGTTAAATCCCGCATAGTTATGGTGATTTTGGGCATGGCTTGTGAAAATTGGGTTTACCACATGATTATATATTCAAATATATTCCAGCCACAACAGTGGATGATGCAATGGCTCCCAAAAAAAACACATCCTGCCCCAGAACCCCAGATTCCACGTGTCGTCCTGCTTCTGTCGTTCCGCCTCCAGCGCTTCTGCTGCGCAACGACGTGCTTCATCTTCCACCTGGAAGTTAAAACCCATTGGGCATCTCATTAACCCAAAATTCATCCAAGTGGATATATGACTATAGTTATATGGGCTATATCCCAACTTATGGGGGTGAACATCGCCATGGTTATACCCATAAAAGTCACCTTACCTGCACCCCTGAGTATTCACTTTTTGTGAGGTGCCCCAAATTCACAACCTCAAGAATGGGGTCTCAAAGGTGACTTGTGATGGCTCTACTCTCAATATGGCCCAAAAATGTGCAAGCCTTGTTGAATTCGGGGTTATAGGAAGGGTCCCGCACATGATAGGTAAGTTTATCAGTAGCCTAACGATTGAATATAGAGTGTATATATTTAGTTCTGTACATGTGGTAAAATAATATCCCCTCAAAAAAAATATGTCAACTGGCTTCTTGAAATCCAGGAAAAATATGATATATAATAATATATATGATCCCGCCTTCCGACCGCGAGGTCCCCCCCCAATGGGATGGGTCCCCAGGTAGCACCCCCCCTTTCCTTCTATTTGCAAGCTATTGGCAGCATTTCTGAGGTCCAGCCTCGTATTTGCTAGGTTTTTGCAGGGATTCTGACTACCAGCCTCCCACTTACTAGGTACATGCTACCTTTTAGACGACCTACTTACTAGGTACATGCTACCTACATGCTACTCCTGCTTAAACTAGCAAACATCACTGGGGGGCAGAGACCTGTCCGGTTCCCCCATCTCCACCTGCCGAAGGCGGGCGGACTCCATGGCATTCTTCTCCTGGTCACAGGCCTGTACTGAGGATGAAAAACGGAGGTTCAACCAGCAACACCATGGACATTTAAGCAACAAAAATGTGGTTTTAAACAATAAAAATGCGGAATTATTGAGTTTAAAACCATTTTTCTTGTGATGTTTAAAGTTTCAACATGTTTCAACCTCCCTGAAAATCTCATTGAAATGAGATCATCCTCCCGGGCAGGTCTGAAAAAATGTGGACCGGCATCCCGCAACTCCCATTGTTCATGGGGAATATGATGATTACCCTCTGGTAATTTAACATAGCTATTGAAAATGGCAATCTATAGTGAGTTTTTCCATTAAAAATGGTGATTTTCCATAGCTATGTAAACGTTTACCAGGCCGGGTAACCCTTGGATTAGGGCACACCCCATCTTTGGACAAACCACGACGCCCGTTCCTGCAGCGCGTGAAAAAACCTTTGGTGGGCCCCATGTCCCAGATTCGTTGCTTCATCCCCTCTTCTCCGCATCTTCTTTATTTTTGATTCATATGGCAAATCCAACAATGAACCAATGAGTTTTTACTAGGCATATAAAACCTCACATGGACCCAAATGCTTGAGGGATTACTACGGGTTCGTCTGAAAATGCGGTGCCCCAAAATCGCATTGTTTGTTCTGATTTGCCCGTTGGCTCCATCAAAATGGGTCTCCCCCCCATTTTTTGGACAACCCCAAAGATTGTAAATTCCCTCTAGTGTCACAAATATCACCATCTTTGATTCTTAAGCAAAATTCATCCCAATTCTTGTTTGCTTGTTTGAAAAAAATCTAAGGTCAAGTAAAGCTCTTATCATTCCTCGATCCCCCAGCCATTCCCATAACCCCATCGCGAAAAACTGCGGCCTCCTTGAGCTTCAGCAGTCCCTGAAGCTGCACACGCTTGGCCGCCAGCTCTGCACGAACCTGATTTTGTTGGCGCCTCCTTGAGCTTGGGGCGGCCCCTATCAACCAATGATTATGTATACTGCTGGCGTCGCTTGATGCTTGGGATTCCTCTGTATCCAAAACCTCTTTTTTTTTCTGGAAATCCTTCGATTCCAAGTCACTAAAAAAAACACCAGCGAACCATTGGTTGGACGACCTTTAGCTGCAGGAATTCGGAAATTACTATAGCACAGCCCCAATCCCATCCATTCTCTTACTGCCACCCTAGGCCTCCACAGTCTTCAAAGCCTTTTCCTCCACGCGTCTGTGCTGCTGGTTGTTTTGCCGCTGCTGCTGCGCCAGCAGGGATGCTTGGCGCCGCGCCTGGTTCTGTGGGGTTCGACTGGAGCTGATTGATTACAGTATCTCGAGTTTCAAGTGAGTGAATCTGTGTCATCCTTTAGAGCTGACAGAATCGCACAGAATATTATATATATATCATTTAGCCATTTCGCATTCCTATTCCATGCTGACTTTGCACATCACTTCCCACCGCTGCAACGCTCCGGCCCATTTTCCCCCACGAGGTTATCAGGACCAGGATGGTCACCAGCAGACCCGATGAGGTCAAGCTATAGGCCGGCAGGGTTGTGATCAGCGCTGCCGACGTCACCATGGACACCAGGTGCACCGCCGCCCCGCCCGGCGTCACGAAGGCCCCACGGCCACCACGGCCACCACGGCCACCACGGTCACCGTCGGCCGCCAGGGTGCGCTGCTGGATCTGCAAGGCACACGTCACAGCCGCCAGCGCCAAGGGAAAGGCAACGGCCTCGAAGCCCCGGAGCCCAAGCGCTGACAGCGCGGCCAGCAGCGTTGGGGCCAGGGCAGCCTCGGAGGTCCAGTGGGGCGAGAGGAGCAGCAGCGACCCGAAGCTACATGCCACGAAGGAGCCCAGCAATGAACGCAACTCAGCTTGCTGCACGCCTCGCGCAACTTCAGGATAGATTTGCTATGATGCTACAAAATTGCGAAAACACGTGAACCACATGATACTGGTTCTCATCCCAAACTCAGACCGGCTCTAGATTGCAGAAGTTCTCCTGCACCTGAGCCTGAACATTGCCTGAACCAAGATAGGAGCTCAAATCATGAGCATTTCTTCCAACAGTCCAGTTCACAATCATGTTCCCTCACTAATTCAGAATGGTCAGAATGGGCGTATGACAGATCCCAACCAACTCCTAGTCAACTCCAGTAATGGTAGTGATAACCACCATCTATATCTAGTAGGAGCTGACGGCTACAGAATGACATGAATCCACATTCACCTGGCGACTGCCGTGCCGTGACCGCCGACACAGACGCCAAGATGAAACACGTGAGGACCGCTGCGCTGCAAATGTCGTTCAAATCCTGAACCCCGCAGCAAAACAGCCAACATCCCAAAAGCACCCACAAGTGAACAGTGTACGTTGAGTGATCCTTGAAATCAGGACAGATTGTGAATGACTGGGTGATATCCGCTACGGATTTCATGGATCATCCAAGTGGCTCACATTCCGTGAGTTGTTGAGTTATTTGATGGGCATTCAGAGTTACAGTATAACTTATCGCGGCCCCATGGGATCTTTAAACATGTGCGTTGGTCAAATAATCCCGCTCTTTCTAGTAAATGAATTAAACTTATATGGTATATCCATTCATTATTGGTTAAAATTACCTTAAATCTATAATGTCTGTAAATGTGTGTATATATGTTGTATACATATTGTATGTATACATATATATATATATATATATATCGTTTATCAAGTTTATATATATATAATTAAATACATAAACAAATCAATATATAAGTAAATAAACAATAAATAATAAATACCACGTTTATACAACCATTAAATCACCCAATAACAACCTATGAAGAAATGGTTAAGCCCCCATTGACATCATATATACATATAATCATCACCCTTAAATCACCATTTCTGTCGGTTATATCCCCATTTTGTTGATGATATGGCTATGGATCAATACCTATACATACCATTTTTAGGGGGATTCACATCCATAAATCCCAGCTATTTTGATGTGAGCTACAGGGGTACAAGGTATTGATCCATAGCCATATAGGAACGCCCCTGGATTTCGGGTCGCGGTCCTCAAAGGGCACCAGCCCCGCACAGATGGCGGTGACCGCTCCACCCAGCAGGGTGCAAAGCAACGGCTCGCTGCTTGAATCCCGACGCCGTGCCAGGACGGAGGGAAGGAAGTCGTCCTAGCTTTCCAGGGGAAATCATGGTAAATCACCATCATTTCCATGGGAAAAGATTGGAAAAGTTGAGGAAAAAAATTGAAAATTTTGACAAAATGGAGAGAAATCATCTGAAAAAGGTGGATTTCTGATGGATTTCCATGGCCATCTTTGATATGAGGGGTAAGCAACAAATACCCGGGTACGTATCGTTTTTGGATAAACCCAAGTGTATCATCACACAAGCCCCTACTACTTTGGCTAAGCGTCAAATCGTGTGGGCAACAATGACCCCGGTGCCACCAAATTGGTCATATTTTGGATCTTTAGTCATCCATAACTTACTGGTGCTTAGTAGGGAATGGATAGGACTGGGGGAATGGGGTGATTATTACCAGTGATTATGGATCATTCCCTCATTCCCTGCTAAGCACCAGTAAGTTTTGAGCCATCCATAATTCTGAGCTATACCCAAATGTCATCGCTGGGGCCCGTATACTATTGACTACCCATCAACCCAATCACATTCAGGTTCTTGCAAGTAAGAATCAACAAATGTTTCTGAAAGTTGGGTACCCCATGGTACCCCTGTTTATCATCCCATTTTACTTGAAGAAATGGCTGCTAACCACGGCAGCAACCCCACGGGTTTCCCAAAAAAAACTGACCAACACTCTGGATGGGAAAACCCCAACGCCTCGGCGAGGCAGCACAGCAATCGGCCCAAGGGGAGCAAACATCCAAAGGCCACCACTGGAAGGACCAACAACTCCCCCACCTCGGATGGGTGACCTGGATGATGACCTTCTGAACTGAGAGACTGGGGTCCCAATAACTTCTGGTTGAAAGAATCCCCACTGAAGCAACAAGTAGTACGATAAGTACGATGAACCCTTATTGTGTAGTCAGTACTGAAGCAAAATGTAATCCTTATTGTAGTACGATAGTACAATAAGTACTGACTACACAATAAGGATTTTGGTCACTGCGCTGATGGCTGGAGATGGTTCCGTCAGGTGACAAGTGAAAGAAAACAAATCACCTGCAAAGGCACATGGGGGGTGAACAAGAATAATGTCCAATCTACGGTCTGGTTTGCACAAAGTCTACAGTTTTTTCTATCTTTGATACCATCGAATACATACCATACCATATGTATCCATATGTGGGCATGTATGCGATGGCCATTGTTTGTCGGCCACGTCGCCAAGAATCATCCAATAAGGTACCAGCATTCACACCTTTTTTGATGGTAGAATTATCCGGTCAATTTTCCATCTTGTTGGTTGCAACTCACCATTTTTCTTGCTTGAAGTCCTCATGTTGCTTCTATAAGTTTCGATCCTGTTTTTTTGCCAATTTCCCACCTTCAGGGCTTCCACATACGAACAAATAATGGAATTTAAGCACGACAAATGGGGAACTACTCTGATTTATGGCAACCCCCGTGAAAAAATGCAAGGTCGGAAACCTTGAAACTGAACGTCATCCATTCCGTCCTGGAAACACTTTTTGAGGGCTACCCTATACCTCTTGCAAATGTCAGTTTATTTACCTTCGAACAAAATACAATTACTCAATTGCAGGAACTGAATGAAATTAATAAGTTTTAACCCGAAAAACTGATGCTAAATCCCATGTGCCCTGATGGATGTTTCGGGTTCGATTACATGTTAACGTAATTGCCAAAATTTAACCCAAAAACAAGGATGGTTATCTGTTGATAGGTTTCCCTACTATGGGTTATCATAATCCCCAATAAATTCGGCCGCATAAGTCCCAAAAAAATAACCAATCAACCAACTATATTGATTGGTCAGTTATATTTAAGAATTCGTATCCCCATGAAATCCCATTAAACAGCATTAAACCACCATTTTCAATGGGTTTTCCCTATGAAATCCCGTACGATATGGGTATTTTCTTCATGGCTCACCCCATGGTGGCGCCAAGCCACCGCGACCACCCGCGCTTGGAGCTCCAGCTGCAAGCGCTCGAAGGCCGACACGAAGCCGGCGCTGGGGTCAATCGAAGGCGCCGCCACGCAGGAAACCAAGGCGAAACCTGGACTTGGAGGAGGGAAACGTGGCCAGTGAAGGTACAAAAATTCTACATGTATCTTTCTAATATATATGTATATATACACACATATGCATATGTAATATTTATATATATATATACATATAAATATATATATATATGTTATTGTGTATGAATATATGATTATATTATTATGTATATAGATGTGTAATATGTAAAGATACTTATGTGTAGGGAAACATATTGAGATAGATAGGTATAGGTAGGTGGTCAGATACATGGATGGATGGATATAGACGAAATCAATCAAATGGATATAATTATATATTATATATACATACACATGGCAAACTCATACGTATCACAAGTCAGGGTAGGAAGGGAAGTACAAAAACATCAAGCTTGATTGGGGATTATCCATTGCTAGGTGTGAGTGTTACCTAGATCAGATGGTTATGAATTGAGGTATTGGAAAAAGCTCTAGAAATGGCAGAAACTTCCACATTGCCAGGCTATTGCGGGTTTCAGGGTTTTTTGCCCAAAAAACGGTCGGCCAAACAACAGCCATTCACGGCAGTTACATGAAGGTTAATTTCCAAGTGTAATCAGCTTGAAACATCTTGAAACACCTTGAAACCCTGTACTAAAGTTGCACAATTGACAAATCGGAAGTCGGCCATTTGGGTGGCATCTGAATGTCGAAAAAACGCCAGAGACACAACCCTGCTTGATTCGGGCACATCTGACTTTCGGGGGCCACGGCTCCACGTAAATTTTCCTTGATCAGCCAAGGCGTATGTATCAAGGCGTATGATCCCGCTATTGAAAAAATGAAAACGAGAAATGCTGATTGATTCAGCATGGGATCTGTTCAAGTGTGGGTCTCATGTCGGCGCTATTTAATTTAGCGGGGTGGGGATTATGCCCATTTTTATCTGGCATGTGACATGTGGTTTGTTAATTGAATTCACAGTCTTGTTGCTCAAATCCCAATCTTTGTAACTTACATAACGTCACAGACCCTCTGGTAATTTCACATAGCTATGGAAATCATAATTTCTTTTCGGCAAATCATTTATCAATGGCCCCTGCAACGGCCCATGTTCATCCATTTTCCAGGTCGCTATACTAGAGGACTCCGGGGCACCCACCGCGCCTGCCAAACAGGTAAGGCCACCAGAGATCACTAAGCCCAGAAACAGCGCCATGGGAACCACCCGTCGAGCATCCTGTGGGGCTGGTTCAACTGGTTAAGAAAACATGATTTTTTAACCCCCAGTCATGGTACTTCTGGTACTTTTAATGAAGGAAATGATGAATCAATGGATTTAGAGGTACCCTATTTCCAGACAAATCTACATGAGAGTTGTGTCTTATCTTCAATCTTCACAATTTCAAAACCCTCTGGCTGAATTATCATACTTCACGAACCCGAAATAAGGTCATGTTAGTTATGTTGATATTGGGGGATAGCTAATCTTACCCATCCATCAGGTCACGTGGCCCATCTCCGCAGCTCCATCGTCCTTGGTCTCAGTGGCCAGCGCACAGACCGCATCGAAACCCAGGAATCCAAAGAAGGAGTCGGTGGCGCCCCGCAAGACTCCTGCAAGACCGTAGTCCTGGAAGCAAAAACCATGGAAAATTCCCAAGATATGAAGAATGGTTGGTTTAGTTTCTTGGACAATCATGGATAGTGATAATCATAATCATTGATATAGGCCTCCAAGATAAATTGGAGAGTACAATGAATCTAAAATCCTCAACCACCTGGCAGTTTTGAAACTGTTCAAGGGGAACAAGCTTAGGTATACCATCTGGAAACCATGTATACCGAATTCACCATCGATAACTGGGACGGTCATCCAGGTTTCCAACTGGGGATCGTCCTCAGGGATGAAGGGTTGCAAGTTCTGAGCATCGAAGGCTGCGAGTGCCGTAGTGATCATGAAGAGGATCAGAGCAAGTTTCACCTGGGAAACTTGGAGTTTTCTCTCGTGGGAAGGTCATCTTGTAAAGGACGGCGAAAGAGGCTCCCTCTGCGAAGACACAGAGAAAAAAAGCAAAAGGTGATGTTAATCAGATGTTACATACAGTCCTTTGAAAAAGGGAAATACAGGAACCCGTGATGATCCTGAAGTGGCTATATATAGTATGATACAGGGACAGGTCAGAAACTTGGAGACGTTTGACCTGCTAGAGCTGGGATCAGAACAATGATGGAAAACCCTTTCAGGTCACCAGGCATCAAGGCTTCCAGATTCGAATCTGAGCATGGCCGGGAGCCATCCCGTGAATCTCCGGCATGGCAGTAAGGGAATGTCACCTAGTAATTTCATCATATGCTCCCTCCACCCAATCATATGGCTGTGTTTGATATTTAAAAGGGGTTATCATATGTTTCCCCATCAAAATTGCTGTTTCGGGGCACTTGTATACTCTGGGTTCAAAACACACCCTTAGATACAAACGAAGTCTCATCTAGGGGGCGTAATTCTTAACTGATTGGCGGTTTCAACCCATCTGAAAATTACTCACGGGGGATCATGATCCCCAATATGGTTGAAACTAAAAAATAGTTAAATAGTTGAAACCATCAGCCAGTTGGGGAGAGGCTATCTGCAGCAAGTCGCAGCTGTGCTAACATTGGTGAAGACTTTGGATGCCCTGGTGCCATTAGCCAACAAGAGGGTGCAGAATAGCACTAGCAGGACTGCAGGGTAGTCGACCACTGTGACCTGCGAAAGTGTCGCAATTCGGAATTAACTGGGGGATAGACGGATAGAGAATCCTATCCTCCAAAAGTCACCAATTATATGATGGGACCACGTGTGATTTATGATGAACAAGTCCAGTAAATTCCCCAAGGGCTTTGGGGTGGTGTTTATCATGCTTCTGCAAAAAAATGTAAATCAAAGATTTTGACACTGGCACTTGGGTGGATCAAAGTAAACATCCCAAACAGAGAAAAACTTGGATTGTCCAGCAAAAGGTTCGCAATAATTTTGCCATACTTGCTTTTGACCCACTACCAGTGTAGGATCATGGGAGTATGGGTCAAAATGCAAACCCCAAAAATTTGGGCCGAGCCAAGAATAAAAATATAAAGCAAAATAACCCAAAAGTAGCCAACATCGTAACATCGTCCCAAAATAGCCCAACAATATCAAAGGACAACTAAAATAAGCAAAATAATCATAACACAATATTTCTATATATATATATACATATATGGGGGTTGTTCAAAATTATGGTACCCGAAAACTGCCCTTACGCCGCGCTTTCGCGAACCTTTCGCGCCCTTTCGCGCCCCAGCTGAATCGGGACATGGGATTATGATCAGGTTTTCGTGTGCAAATTCGTCACAAAGATTTACAGGAGGATTGCATTTAAAAACATTACTTCTTGGAGATCCGTTTTCAAAGCTGCTCTAGTTAGTTACATTCTTGCTGTGCGTGATGAGTCTGTTCCAGTCCACAGAGTCGATGGCATTGGGCAAGTCAGTGTTACGTGAGGACGTTTGACTTCTGGACATTGGTTTTGCACCCATTCTTTGAAAAGCTTTTGAAGCTGCGACATTGCAGAAAGAACTAGCCCATTTTGGGCCAGGGGTTGGGTCCGGGAGGATTCACCTTTCGCGAACCTTTCGCGGACCTTTCGCGAACCTTTCGCGGATTTCTCGTCTAAAAAATGAAATTTCAGAAACTAATGTTTATGCAAGGGTGTCTTTAATAATTTATGCCAACCAGGGTGCCACTACCAATTTGAGAACATGGGACAATACGAAACATGAATCATGTGGCAATTCTGCAGGGAAAACTGCCAAACATGAATACTGTTACTATAACTTATGTATGTATATATAATGTATTTAAAAATAGTGGTATTCAGACCTTTCGCAAACCTCGCGCCGCGCTTTCGCGGCCTTTCGCCACTGCAGCAAAACACATACATCCATATCTGCAGATGTCACTCGGATACTAAAAGCCTTGCATGGATTTTTGGACGGCTCCCATATATATATATTATCTTATATATTAATATATTTATATTATATCAAATTATATCATATATTTGATATCAAAATAAGATAACCATCGAAATGTCCCAGATTTCGGACTTGGGTACACCACCTCTGGGAGCCCATGGAAGTCCCGCAGCACTTTGCCGGACCAATCCACCGCCACTGCAGCGCAGCTCCAGGCGTATTCCACGAAGAGACACAAGGCCGCCACAGCCATGGCAGAGCGACCCAGCTGGGTGGCTTGCACATAAGCATAGACTGATCCTACAGGGCAGAAATGCGCTTCTCAAAGCACGTGGGTCAAGATCCACAAACTGCAAGGATGTGTGGGCCATGTGGGCAAAACGCGACTGGAAATTCATTCACAGACGTGGTTGGTGACTTGGTGCTTCCCCAAACTCGGTAGACTCAAAAAACACATCACCCCAGTTCAATCTCCATCAATCTTCCCCATCCCAGTCCAGCCGCTACCACCCTACTGGACAGCTCCGCATAGGCCGTGGCGCTGAGCCCACACAGCAGCACGCCGATGCCCAGCGACAGCACCACCGCGGGCCCTGCCTCCTGTGACGCCACGCGCCCGGCCAAGGAGAAGACCCCGGAGCCCACGGTGGATGCCACGGACAGCGCCACCAGATCCGTCAGGCCATAGCTGTGGCGCCACAGCCGGCGCAGCCGGGGCCGGGGCAAGGGCCGGGGCTGGGGCAGGGGCCAGGGCTGGGGGATTTGCCATGGAAGCAACGGCGCGGGAGGTGTAGAGAACATGGAGCAGCCGCCAGTGGCACAAGTGGGAAAGGGACTTCTAATTTTGGGGATGGAATCACGTTGTATTGGCACATGGCCTGAAGGCAGCTACAGAGGCTTTTCTTGATCCACAACATGAATCGTGCCACAGAGACAATATGAGGTCAGGACCTCGCTTCACCCTCCTTTGTCCACTTTGCTTGGTTCCTAGTTCCTATCGTTGGTCGCACTTGTGTGGATATACACCTCTGAAATTAATCTCCTCCAAGGTTTTCCAAATATAAACGAATCTTCCGAACCCATTTGGTGGGTTCCACGCATCTTTTCCAATGAAACACGTCGTGTTTGAACCACCGAAACAGCAACGGAACAGCCCGGGCCTCATGGAGCCGTTTCAGGCGTACCTCGCGGGATGCCTCTTTGGTGTACCTGCACCAGGTGCTGGGAGACGTCAAGATTCATTGAAGATCTATAGTTATAGGTTCGGGAACATGTTTAAATAATTTTAAATAGTATATTACAGCAGACCATGAAGCAGTGTACATCTACTTATAAATTTATAATTTTATATATGTTCAGCCTTTTTTGTAGAAACTGCATCTCTCCAAAAATATGACTCGTTTTCGGCCAGCTCTGCCGTTTGAAAACCAGCTATAGACCATTGGATAGGGCCCTGAACACAGACCACCCCCAGTCCACCAGGACGCCACCACCAGGACAGTTGTATTCCTTTTGGTAGTTGATCTCAATGTTTCTTGGCTCCACCATCTGGGGTCCTGATAATCCTGATATCCCTCGTACTTCCAAGTCTTCTAGTCTTCGAGTCGTGAAAACTTTGCATCGCTTCGCTCAATTTCTAGCTGCTGAATTTGCTATATGTGACATCATTGATATCCCCAATTTCGGTACCCTCTGGTAATTTAACATAGCTATTGAAAATGACCATTTATAGTGGATTTTCCCATTAAAAATGGTGATTTTCCATAGCTATGTTAATTTACCAGAGGGTAAACCCCCAACAGACTTTGAATCCCAAAATTCCACCTATCCCCAGGCCTTTCAAGTTCACCAGGACTCAGACCTACGTCTGACTTCAGCTGCCGAAAGATAAGTGGTTGACCATCAAGAATGGTGAAAAGGCTGGATTTAACCATGAAAAATGGTGAACAATCGGATTGGATTTACCCATCATGTGTTTTTCTGAAAATGGATTCAACCATGAAAATGTGTTAAGAAATTGGATGTAACCATGAAAAATAGGGATTTGACCAATCAATAGTGGATATGTAGTGATATGGGTGTGTGTGAAAAAAAAAATGATCAACCAGTCGATTCGATATCATGGAAGTTGTCTACCAGCTGCTCAAATGCACGTCCAAGCAAAGAAATCTCAGGTACAATGGGGCCAAAATCTTCCAAATGGGATGGTTCCCACTCACAGTGAACCCCCAGTATCGTGCAATAAGCCCTTCAATATCTGTATGGTAACCATCTTAATCAATAATTGCGGAAAGAATTGTTGCCGTGGGTCTACTCGTTTGGGAATTTTCGGAATGGCGGGTGATATCGTAAAGACATCTTGAACCAGTTTTTGACTCTGGGTTATCTGCTGGCAACCAAACCTGGCAATGGAAGTCCGCTATATCTAGGGATAATCTATGAGAATCTTTCTGTTGTACTTGGGGATTCTCCATTTCTAGGCTTGTTTCCCAAAGGACCACCATCCAAATCAGAACAACAACTGCCATGCATGCTGCCCTTCTGAGCTCTCGGACGGAGATACTCCGTGCCCAGAACTCCCATAGCCGGAAGATGGATGTCTTATGTCGTCTTTTTATCGCGATTGAAGGTCCATCCAGAGCATCTGACAGCCATGTGCATCTAACACGATTGCTTGGATGTTTGAAGCACCTGCAAAATCTAAACCAATGATTCATGATTTACTTCATGTCAATGACATGTCACCGAAATTGTCCTGTTGTGAAGAGGTTATTCATCGGTTCCAATACCAATGAAAGTGGTACACTACTCGACCGCAAGCCTTCAAAGATAGTTCGTTCTCTTGCCATCACATGGGCATATTTGGGCAATGTTTAGTACTAAACCATCCCATTTTTGGGGTATCAAATCGGTATCAAATGTTGACCCAGACCCGTTTTGGCCATCTTGGCTAAATCTTTGCGGCCTAGCTGTCACATCCTTTGCTTGAACAGCTGCAGACAAGTTCAAGCTGCAACAGTTTCTCCTTTATATAAAAGAATAGAACTTTTCCAAGATGGTCCCAAAATAGATAAGAGGGAAGCACCTTTGAAAGACTACTGCGGAAATCCATGTCTGCTCTATGTCGGAATCACTGTTCATTCAATGCCTTTGCTCTATGTTGTAATATGGCTTGGATTTGAACAAAAAAATCTTCTTCAGCACATCCAGGATGATCATGCTATCTGCAAAAAGAAAAACATCGTCAGTGAACCATCCCAAAAAAAACACAGGACGACGTGTTGGACCTGCGAATAGTGAGTCCCGGCTGAAGGTCTACCCTCTGGTAAACTAACATAGCTATGGAAAATCACCATTTTTAATGGGAAAATCCACTATAAATGGCCATTTTCAATAGCTATGTTAGTTTACCAGAAGGTAATAGTGAGATTAGGGTTTTTCTATGGAAACCTCCAACCAGGCGGGGCTATCCGGACTGCCCAAGATGTTCCAACGGATGGGCTGAAGTTTCACCCAACCTCTTCTTGCGCCCTCCAGTGGTGTCCTCTTGGCTAGCTACCTTCTTGTTTTGGGAAAAATGGGGCGCTACCACCCATATGTCATCAACAAACCAGTTGGAAACCGACATCTACCGGGACGATCCCTGAACTTTCAAGTGATTTGTATCCGGGGGTCCCAAAATCGCCAGCGCTCCCCAGTTGGCATCTTCTCCACGGTCCATTTTTCCTCTGCTTCATTGGCAACAGACTCCTACCCCGAGCCCAGGCCAGAGTGCTCACACTCGGAACCAAAGCTCCAAACCCCACAAAAAAAAACACACCGATGCAGCAGAGGCACTGGTAGCAGTGAAGAAGCCACAAAAAAGAAAATGAGAAAAACAAGTAGAAGTGCTACTTGGATAAAGGTTGCTGAATTTGGGACAAGCTCAGATTTGGGGAGGCTGAAGGTACAAGAGTCAAGTCTTCGTTCGGGTACCACCCTCTGGCAATTAGTCCATATGGAAATCAGTTTGGTGATTACAGGGACCATACCCCATTGCTAGTCTTAGATCCCCTGGAAAAAGAACTGCAAGATCTACTGTACTACTAGGTATTCATCTATCTGTCTGGCCCCCTATCTCAAGACGCCTTCGAAATTGCACCAGGTGCCCCTCACTGCAATGGAACAGCCTCCATCGGTACATGGCTCTCATCCAATTTCCCTACAGCTCGTGCCGGTCGCATGCGCGTCAGGTCCATTGTGAACACCACCTGACAGTTTTTTAGGAGCCTGGAGCCTGCTGGGAATAGCCAAGGTTCAGCTATTCTCTGATAGAGTAGCATTCTGCCAGAAGACACGTGAAGTTAGTAACAAATTGTTTACATCCTATTGAACATGGGGGATGCGATTTCACGGGAAAAGATGCAAATTGAGGTGCAACATGGTGCAAGTGCCAAAGCGACTTCAGCAAGTTTGGATGGCAAGATCCCGCATATCCCAAAGTAGACCAGAGAATTGTGTGCGTATATACAGTGTATACATATTTATGTGTGTATATATATAATATTATAATTATGTCTATATATATGTGTGTGTGTGTGTGTTTCATTATGATCTGGCATTTGTGCCAGCAGCTGTCTGACATGTATTTCAATGCGCCCTCAACTTCTCTCCAGCGGTTTTGGAAAGTGTGCACAACCAATCACTGTCTCATGACTGCAAAAATGCAGGCCTGTTCATATTCTAGGAACCCGTGGTCCATGCCAGTGGGAACTTCCAAAGTTCAGTTTCGACGTCGCCATGCACTTGTGGGTTCCCTTATCTTCAACTTCATCTTCATCATATACCCTCTGGTAAACTAACATAACTATGGAAAATCACAATTTTTAATGGGAAAATCCACTATAAATGGCCATTTTCAATAGCTATGTTAGTTTACCAGAGGGTAACAAGTCTCTGCGATACACACTCCAGGCTTCCCGTACCGAAGTGTCTCGAAGCTTCGATATGCCAACCAGTCCCTGCAACACAGATAGACTGAAACTCAGCGTGTTGCATGGGTTTGTTCTAAAAGAAGGGAGGAAAACCAAGCATTGATTTCCTTCCCACTGCAACAGCACCGAAAAAATAGGTTGATAAACGATAGGTCGATGCTTGCAACGACTGTACAGAGTTTTGACCATCCGAAGCAACAGCAGAGGTGGCTGGTTCACCAGCATGGACCGTATGTTCGCCCTCCAGCTGCCTCCCCGTGGCTGAAAAAGCGATCTTTCTGCGAGATGACGATGGCCCTGCGAGATGGCTTGGCCCGTGACAGACCCCAAGGAGGGAGATTAGTGTGGGTAAAATGATGGCATAATTGATGGATTATGGGACAATGCGAGATCTTGTGGACAAAAAGGCGTAGGATTGCCGAATCATATCAGGTTTTGCGGAGCAATTGGCAAAGGAGAATGGTTTTGTGGGGGGCGGGACTTCCATTGAAAGGAATATCCGTGCACCGGAAAAGGAGCTGCGACTCCGACGCATCCCTCTATCAGGACGCTAACAAACCACCAGAGCTACGTTGACCAACATGAAAACATTGGAAGTTTCCTGACTAAACATGCCTACAAGGTACGCCTATACCCATGTGGAGGTTTCCTGAAACATTGCTTATTCTGACTGGTTAGTCCAATGTCTGAAATGATATATTCCTACAATACACATGCATAATACATGTATATGATATCGTATGATAATGTTTACAACGTGAATGTTGCTACAACATCCAGACTCCACCTTTCTGTCTCTCAGAATCTGGGAGCCCCTGCTGACAACCAATGGAATCGATAAACTTGGCCAGAGCCTGAAGGAGCACATCATATGGGATGGTTATGAAAAACATAGTCATTCACTTTAGGGGATTGCTAGGTATTGAAAATGTGTATATATATATATAATTGTATTAATCAGCTAGGTATTCAGTGTGATTTGGGTCGATCACCGTTTGGTTCACCCGAATTGTAGACCATAAAAAACAAAATGTCAGTGTGTATTGTATGCCCGTTATACCCTTGCATACAGATTTGTCGGGCTATCAGAAGCAGTTGACATTGTCTAAATGTGTTTACACAATACCTATTCTGTGTATATACATATAATATAACATCGATTTACCAATGGACGTCTATCTCCTGGTGTGGACTAGTAACCCATCATTTGGGTACTTCCCAAAGTGGTGGGGGTACCCATTTCACCCCCATTAATTGCTATCATTGCAGGGTCAATCCCTACTCAAACCTCTTTCCGTCTGCATAAATCCCCATTTTGTCAGATATCTCACTATAGTTTTCTTTTTTTTTTAGTGGCTAAAGGCCATATTGGCTGCTAAATATCACCAGTTTTTTTCCCAGATTTCCTCTCTTTTCGCCTGTGTCATCCCTTTCTCCCAGGTCCCAGGTTGCCCCACCAGCACATTGGAGTGATCCAGGTGCGCATCGATCTCATCCAACACCAGGAAGGGAGGCCTGAGCCGTAGCACACCGAGGCAGAGACTTCTGATTGGAAAATGGCTCGGAAAATGACTAGGACATTATGGGGAAATGATCGGGGAAATGATGAGGAAATGGTTAGTAGATGATCAGTAACTAGTCATTAACCACCCTCAGGGGTCTAATAGCCCTTGTAAATGGTGTGAAATTGAGTTCTAGGTAGTGAGATATATCGTAGTTCCCAACTATTGCAAACTAGTTTCAGAAATCATCGCAATTGGATGATGATGAGTCCAGTCGGGTAAAAGAATGGGATGATCGGAAAAGGCTTTGTCTGAAAATAGCTACAGTATCCCCCACAAACCCAAAATCAGTTAATACGTATCATCAGTGTCCCGATGGTATCCACCAGTTTCAGAAACAAAAACACATGTCAGTCAGTGAGTCGATTTATCAGGACCCACTAAGCTGCTGTGTATTCTCCCCACAGCCAAGAAGTGGTAGGAACTTCACCGGCTCCAAAGCTCTATTCTGTTCAAGGTTGGGTACCGATTTCGGTGATGATCAAGGATACAAATCATCATTCCAAGTGCTGTTCAACGGAAGCATCAGTCAATGGATGATTTTAAGACTACAAATGGCCCATCTTCAGGGTTCAAAGGATTCGAAAACAATGCCAAAGAGCAAAACAAAACGGAAGTTAAAGGGACCAAATATGTGGCCTTACTTTTCAATATACATATGTATATATATAAGGTATGTATATGTGTATAGTTTTATATACATGTATATGTATATATGTATATATGTATATATGTATATATGTGTATATATATATATATATGTATATATATGTATGTATATATGTATGTATATATATATATGTATGCATATATATATATATATGAATATGTATGTATAGATCTATGAATACATGTATATTGTCTGCATATCTATATATAAACCATACATATGTATACATATGTAAGATGATGTAAGATGTATATATGCATGAGTACATATGCAACCAGCCCGAATCCCTGATCTTGGATCAAGTCCTTCCACCAGCCACAACACCCCGCCTTTGATAGGCCTGGATGGCAAAGAGCAGAGACATGGCAGCCACCGTCTTCTCGCCACCTCGAAATCACAAGCGCTACGGGAAGAACTACGGGAAACCATGATTTCTAGCATGAAAATGCATGAAATATAACTTTGGGTCTACAGATTTTCAAACCGATTTTGAGGATTTGGGTCCTGTCCAAGAGTCCAAGAGCCCAAAGTACGCTGGTCCGTGGTGTGGTTTTAAAGCTAGGAACGTCAGGCTCTTCAGAGCGCTGCCTTGATCAACTTGGCAGCCTGTGATCCATCTCTGGTGTGACAAAGTGCCGCAACAAAAACAGCAGCAGACCCATGTCTCTCATGGAAATGTTCCACCAAACCCCCCAAAGATGACAGGCGGTGACAGGTGACACCCTCATCAAATGGCAGGTTGAATCCCCATGTCGCCTGAAAGCAACGCCATGTCGCAGAAGCGCTTGGAGGGCGGCATCGCAGTGAACTGCCCGGTGCGCGGCTGGTGGCGGGGGACGGCCGCCATAGGCAGGTGAAATTGGGTGACAGTGAGATTTGAGCATCGGAAGAATGCATAGAATGTTGATATCCGCATTAAAATCGTAATGTGATTTCTATGTGCCTGGCATCCAGGAGGAATATATTGACCAAATCAGCCACTGAGGAGGAAATTTTGACTGGATGCTTCAGCTGAAGCCAGCCCTGACTTCCGCTTGTTTCCAGCTGTAGAACCCTAAGTCCGTGGTATCTAAGCCCTGAACTAGTGCCTGTCAGATCTGGCGCAGTTGAAGCACTTGCTGATTAGTTGCTTGACATTTCAGAAATCCTGCAGGCAACGGGCTTTCCCACATGGTCTGACAGAAAGTTTCCGAGTGCAGAGTTCCCCCAGCCAGGATAGTTCCGCCCTGAATCCAATGACCATTTCGGTACGCCTTGATGCCCCCGTTCCAGGGATCCTGACAAGCCAGTAGCTTGTGGCTGAAAAAGTTCTCGGGGAGGTGACATGAGGTGACTAATTGAGCAATCATGAGGCTTTTCAAAAGCAAGGAATGTTACTTTAACTGTTACCCTCTGGTAATTTAACCTAGCTATTGAAAATGGCCATTTATAGTGGAATTTCCCATTAAAAATTGTGATTTTCCATAGCTATGTTAAATTACCAGAGGGTATCTCCCACCCGATCATCAGCAGTTTCGGTGGGCTTCATTGCTTCTATCCATCCACTGTCATCAGTTGATGCTAAACTGCGACTGGCGAAACCTGCAAGTAGAACAATGACTGCAAGACCAAGGGATTGGACGCAAGCCAAAACCCAAACAAGCAGCTAAAACTTGATCAGAATTGCCATAGGACTGCAATTTCGGACCGAATTTTCATCCGTCTATGTGTTTTCAATTTTGCTCAAAGCTTCCAAGATTGGTGGGGGATCAAAATGCACTGGTCAGTTTGGAACATCGTCACAAATTAGGGTGTAAACAAAAGATCTGAATACCCCAAAATTAATATGAAACCCAAAAATTGGGTGTGGTGTTAAATTTAGGCGGTGTATGTACAAGTATATGTATGTGCATGTGATAGATATAGATATACACATTGTATCTTTATGCACCGTTCTGGGGGGACCTCTTTGGACGAGAATGACCAAGCAGATCGCACATCGCCCATCATCTCCTCCAGATCTTCCAAATCCAAAAAGGCAGAGCCACCTTCGAAGCCTTTCCAGTGAAGGGTTTCCTTTCTGATTTCGACTTTGGATATGGAGAACCTATGACGGGTTGCAGAAAATGATTCTAATGTAGCTAAATTGGAATAAGATTGTTGCATGTTTTCTTCTAATTTGGGTCTGATTGATTACAATGTATGGAAAACCAACCTTGAAATGTGGATAGAAATGGCGTCAGTAATCCATACAATAGCTATGTAATCTGGATATGGGGATACAAAAACCATCCCCATTCGGCCAACACTTCGACACCCTGGTGACCTGGTGAAGCCGGCCCGGTAACGCATCATGTCTGGTGCTTATCCCCCGGTGGAAGCGAAAATCATCGCTTTTGTCTACGGTCTAAGGATCTATCCATGTGAAGATGGAACAAACACAAGAATGGCTGAGTACTTTTTTCTGTAGCGGGAAACTTACCGATAGTGATAAACTATCGGAAGTCAATGAGAGTTTAATCCAGAGCAAACAGCCATCAGAGGCCGTCACAGAGTTTGTGGGTCCAAACAAGGAGAGAATCTGATGGGACTTGGTGTTTTCCTGAAAGGTGGAAACATATGGATACAACATGAAACAACTCTATATACATATATATACATATATATATATATACATATACATATATATATATAATGGTGGTAAAATCCTGTGGAAACCGGAACGGAGTCGGGACGCCGTTCCGGTTTTTGTTTCGGCATCCACCCCGAACACGCACCTACTGCCGCACCTTTCGTCAACCTGCCGTCCGTTGAGATGATGCATTTACAAACACTTGCTGTAGGGTATCCAAAAGCTTCGAAACCAACTCCTGAACATTGGCACGGGCTCCCTGAATTCGCAGATCGTATCCACCCTCCTGATTTGGTCGCCAAATGAACATAGGCATCCTACAGCCTTAACAGGTCTTAACATGTCTTAACACCTTACTGGGCCGCTGCCGTTTTTTTGTCGCTCCGCAGTGCCAGCGGGTGGCTGTCCCACTACGTCGAAGCCGACTAAGCCGACAGATGGTCCGCGCAGTGTGGGTTGATTCGAAGCACTGCTTGGGCCCTGGACTATTTGGTCCGGTTTGCGCCATAACCCCCTGCTGTGCGAGAATTTCTATGAATTTCTTGCAGGCTTGTGTCTGTTTTACAAGAATGCCGCCTTGGCAATCGGAAGTGAGCCACCCATGTATAACCTCCATATCTAAGCATTAGCATACAATATGTATATATGTGTGTTTACATATGTATATATATATATACATATGTGTAAACCTATCATAATATCTACAGTATATAGACATGTATATAGTTGAGTGTGAAGTGGGCAGCATGTTTCATGTTTGAAATCCCAGTGTCATGTTTTCTTGTTGGCCTTGTGGCAAGTCCAGGATGCTGTGATGCCCCTGGTCAGCACCCACCATACAGCAGTATTGAAGTTTCATGCAAATCGTAAAAGGTCGCAACAAAAAAAAGGCCCTTGAAGGAAAGCTCCTCACTTGTTGCAAACTGCAGCTAACTGCAGCTTCTCTTCATGCTTGGTGCTGGCATACGGACAAAAGAGCGACAAGGGCGACGCGACAAGCGTCTGCAGTGCGGAGCTTGGCTGTCACTCATGCGAAGCCATATTTGAAAGATGCTTGAGACCCCAGATCAATCGGCATCGGTTCTTGGGGTACCTTCTGGTAATTTAATATAGCTATGGAAAATCACAATTCTCGATGGGTAAATCATCTATCATCTACAAATGTTTCATAGCTATACTAAACTACCGGACTTTCCTCATGGAAACTGCCATGGAAACATCCATGAGTTTCATGTTTCACTGTCATTGCTAAGATCTCAAATGGGTTTGTCCAAAATGGGGAATCCCTCAAATGGCACTTCTCATAGGAAAATTAAGATGATGTTAGTATACCCAATCCACGAACCATCCCCAAAACGACCACAAATGGGTTGTATAAACCATCAAAGAATGGGTGGTTTATTGTTGGATTTACCACATATATAAATCCTTTTAGGAAACCAAGAAATCGTCATCACCAAATGGCATGAGCGCCAGCTGCCACAGCACAATTCGAAAAGCACTTCTGGCTTGGCCAGAGCGCAGAGTGTTCGACGGTTGGCATGGGTCGGAAGATAGCCAGCTTGGACTGGCTTGTCTTCATTCATCATGAGATGGATTATTATTCATATTCTATAATCTTAATCAAAGTAAATCCAGAATGGAATTCTCGGGATACATACCAACCATAACAATGGCTTGTCCTGGAGTAAAAAGAAGAAAAATGCTCAAAAAGATCAGGGTGCTGGATCTGCGCTACTACTTTCGGATTCAATTGGTTCTGACCCTGTTTGCAACTCTTTCTACTGCGCATCGTTACATGAACAGTAAGAAAAACCTCCGCAGCATCAATCAATTCGAGGTTCAGAGGTGGAAAGCGGGAAGCGGGAAGGATCTCCTTCACCGTGAAACCATGTCGTGCCGTGGCGCCTGGTACGCCGGGACCAGCACGTCTGTCTTCCCCGTCTTACGACAGCTCGTCCACGTTGTAGACGGAGACGGGGTTCCGTCGCGGCTCTCGCTTTTCTTGAAACTCGTCGTTGCAGTAGAGAACCCGTCCTATGCTGCGGTTGCATCTGGGAGGCATTGCTGTTTTCCGATGATTCAATAAAGACCATGCTGAGCAAATATTTCTAAAGATTGCTGACCCTGACACAAATCCGTTCAAGTGTTCTATTTGAGTGGGAAATTTTCCTTGAGTCCCCGTTCTTATAAGACACTTTTGCAGGAGATCGCAAGGCTAATGGAGGCTCAATTTCTTGCACCAAACATTTCTCCTGTAGATACGCTGATCATCTGGTTGTTGTTGCAAAGAATACATTGAACACAAAAAGTGTCTTGTGAGCATGGGATCAGGTTCTTTAATGTCAAGAAATCCGTGACAAACATGAACAAACCTAATACATCATATCATATGGTTTCGTTTCACATCGCTTTGTATCATACTGTATCGTGGCATTTATATGCTTTAATATGTATATATATACATACAATCCCCCATATTGTATGGCGTTGTCCGAAAATTGGGTTCCCCTGAATCTATTGCGAAGCGTCCCTTTTGAAATTGCAATTTTCAGAGTAAACCCCCATTTTTAGATCCCGATGGATTCCAATGGATTAATTTCCACCAATTGGCTATGCTAAAATCCGATGTTAATCCATCGTGTTTCCCTGTCCATGTTGATCAAGCGTTTTATCTAATCCTAAAATCAAATCTCAGAATCTCAATCTATTGGCAATGGATATTACATCCAATTATCATCAATTATCATATCATATTTTTTTAATCCCTATAAAATTGTGTATTTTCATGGCCTAAAATCTTTACCTCACTGTTTTCATGGCTTCAACAACGCTGCCAAGCCCCCTGTTGAAACACACAAAAAAAAACATATTGTTACTATATTATATCTCATCACATCCCATTGTATCCCTATTTGATCATCATTAAATCTGCCACTTTGATGCTTGAAAATCAGCAATGTTCAACTTAAGTATATATATATACATATATATATATATACATATATATATATATACATATATATATATATACATATATATATATATATACATATATATATATGTATATATGGACATATCAACCATACAGCCTAGCTTACACTATGTTACTATCTCTATTTTCTGACTGGCGCGCAGCGTGACCACCGGGTCGGGGTGCTCCTCGGATCTCCATCAGTCGAGTTTTCAGCTGCGTCACGGAAAGGGGGCCGTGGGGCTCCAGCAGCGAGGCGGGGAAGCGCACCTCCTGGGTCAAAATGGGCCGAAAAGGTCTGGAAGAAATGAAAGTTATAGAAAAAAAACAGAAATAAATAGTTGGGAAGTTGGGAATGATGATTTCTTAGAATCAATTTGAGTTGTTCTTTGAGGTTATTCCCCATCATTTAGTGCGGTGCTTCTTTGTTTTGTTGAGCTGTAGATCCAAACTATTTCGACACAAAACAGTTGATTGGCTATGTCATTGGGGTCAGATTTAACTATCATTTACTAATTGTGGCTTCTTGCATCAAAGCATGGGCATATACTGATACAATTGACTAACGATGGTTGGCTGATGCTTATAATCGGGGGTTATACGACCTACAGGTACAGTGGGAGTTGTCACAATCCACTAAGAGAATCCCCTTGGTTTTTGACACATTGGTAGTGCTTTCTTACTGGCTTGTGCTCAATAAACGGCAGTTGAATCCCGAACTAAGGAGGTTTGTGTATGTATGTGTATGTGTGTATGTATTATATATGTATATATATATGTATATATATATACATATGTATATATATATATATACATGTATACAGCATACATATATTTCTTCATCACAGACATATACATATTCCATACATCGGAGCATGATCCCAATAATCCCCCCAGATCAAATTCCCTAGCAGAAATCTGCCCCAAGTCATAGATCCAAGATGATCCAAGTTCCATGAGGAGCTGGGGCGAATTTCATTTCGGGCGGATGGGATTAGTAGGGAATCACTGAATCACTGTGAAGAATTTTGTTTGAGACTGAGTCAGCCGTTTACCTACACCTACGTTCAGCACAAGGAATTGAGGTTTTCCATGGTTTTCGTTCAGCTCAACAGGGATTTACCATTTACAGGGGCAAATCATCTGCTGGGTCCAAAGATTGATCCTCTAGGGTCATCTACGGAGCTTCGGTCGGCCCTAAAAACTGTGATGCTTCGGTCCTTGGAAAATTCCTCCAATCCTGGCCGAGCTCCCGGGTGTCGGGCTTCCGAACATGTTGAGCTATTTTTTGTTCATAGGCGGAAGGGGTTACATTGACATATGTATATAAATATATACGGTAACGCATTAACGCGTATATATATATACTATACATATATGAGCTATAGTTCGTAGAACTATATACACATCTGGCCAACATTCTACGTCCCAGTTCTGAATGGTACTTGGACAAGTGGAACCCTCCAGCCCTGAGAGCCCTGAAGAAACCCCAACCCTTTGACTACTGGAAACAACTTGGGCTTCTCAACTTCTCTCGGCTTCTTTGTGCACTTCTTTAGGGTAAGTTTGATCCCCAAAAATTCCTTCCTTTGGATGGCCACTTCTTTGAAATGTCATCGGATGGCATCCCATTTTTGGGCGGCAACGGATTCCAGGGCGATTCTTCCAGGTCAGGGCGAAAACATGGGGGAAAAACGATGCTTTTCATCCTCCAAAAAAAGTTGGTCTCCCCCCCAAAAAAAATGAAGTAGCCAGCCGCGCCTATCTTTTGATCGAACTTCTCTGCGGTCGGCGTCTGCGGAGTAGGGCCTTGATGAGCCAAGCCGGGTTAACCATCAAACATGGGGGTATTTCAGCTCTGGTAATCGCACACGGCTATGGGAAAAAAGAAAACTTGTTTACAGGTAAATCATTTGCAAGCGGGCCATTTTCCATAGCTATGTGACATGACCAGACAGTAACCATCCAACTTACGAGGGCCAAGCTCCTGGTTCCATTTTGGCAATACACGGGGTCCGCGGAGTCACATTTTGACCCTTTGACCCATCCCAAATGAGTCATGAAGGCTCGACAACAATCCAAATGGACAACAATCCAAATGTGTCTGTTCAAACCTAGTAGGTATCCCCACAATCCATTATCATTGTGTCAGCATGTTTATATGTTTTCATGTCAAGTATATCCCCATTGTATCCCCCATTTTCTATGCTGGATGAGTTCTTTTAGCCGACAAAACCAGCACCTTTTTCCAGGCTTCCGGGCAACGCGAATTCGGGGTCAGAGGTGGTAAGAGCGCTCCAGCCGTCGGGCTGTTCACCTGCTGTGAAGATCGCTACCAAAAAAGACTCTGCTTCACACACTATTTTCGAAGAACAGAAAGGAAGAGATGGACCACCAATGACCATTCCAACCATGGGAGATTATGATATATATACATATACAATAATAACAGCAATATAATATATACATATGTACATGTGTACATATGTTTATATTCATGTTTATATATGAACCAACCATATGCTCCAGTCGCCAATAACATCCATGTTGGATGATGTTAAGGGTACCACCTCTGGAGAAGCAACAAGCGTGTTGATCGCTTCAGCGATCAACATGGAGGGATGCCAAAATCATGGCTAGCAAGATGGTGGGGTATCATGTTCCTTTGTGAAAGACTACAAATGCAACCCATGAACCAGTCAAAACAATGTTTGCCCATAATTTTGGTGTCCTTTTTCATACGAGAGCATGACACAAACAGAGAAACCATCACCATCGCATCCGGACGTCAAGTGGGCTAACAGGTTGGTTTGAAAATGGGGGGTTGCAGTTTAGGGTATAACCATGGTTGTAAACCGAAACCCCTACAAGTTGGGACAGAACCCCTGTAAGTATGGTTATGTATACTGTACATATATATATATATGTATATTGTGTATAACTTATACTTGTAACTAGCACTGCACTTCCAAGGAGAGGGGATTCCAGAGAGCCTCAACTTTTCCAAAATAGAAATCGAGCAGCTCGATGAAACCACTGGTGCAGGCCCCCCAACAGATCGCCTGGTTGGACTCATTCCACGCATCCGAGAGGCTATTGCCTTAGATGATCTCTTGGATCCAATGACAGCACTGAAACTTACCCCCACATCCCCGAACAGAGCGACCGGCAAGAAGACAACCAGAGATCTGGTTCAGTCATTCAGTCGATGCTCTTTTTGGCTTCTAGAACCCAACAAAGTTCGGAAAGTTGCCCCAACATTTCAGGCCACTTTTGCATGGGAAAATCCGTTTCGAAATTCACGCATGGGATTTCGACCGTGGGTTTCCCGCAGGTCCAAGATGCGAAAGCGATTGCTCTTCTCAACGAGTTGCTCATGGTCTTCCTCGCGCTGACTCAAGGAGAAACTCATCTGGGTTCGTCTGAATAATGCCCGAAACTAGTAATTTGTTAAGGAAAAATGATAAGTTTAACCATCAAAGCTTTGGTTTTATTTTTCTATTTTCAGACTATGGGAAACTGGCAATCTGTGGCATTTTCAATCTATCTTCATGGCGATTGGGGAATCAGGGATCGATTGAGCTGCTGAAGATTCGCCCGTTTCTTGCCGTGGTAGTGGTTGTTAGTCGCCGGGGGTCACCAAAATGCTGGGAGTGGGTTGAATCTTGACTTCGGTTTGTCTGAAAAATAGGCTATCCCAAACTTTGACGCTTGTAAAAACATTAGTTTCCCCATTCAGCCATTTTTTGGCCCCATGTTCACATGGGAAGATTGGCACCAGCTTCACCCCCGTCCAAACCTGAAGACAGTGAAAGCTGCCCAACAGCGATTCGTAATCGCTTCGCAGCTGTTCCATGTGCTGGGACTGCTCCTGACGACGTACCAGTGTCATGGAAAATCCCCCATGAAAATACGAACATGATGCGAAATGAAGTAACTAAAACGATCGAAACGGAGGATTTTCCATTGCCATGTTTGATTACAAGAGGATATGGGTCACAATGGAAGGTTGAGGACATCTTTACACCTTGAACAAAAACAATAGGGTGGGTACCCTGGATCGTGGATCTCTCAATTGGGGTACCGTTGACCTGTTTACGCATGCCCCATTTGTTATGCTTCGAATTCTGCTGGTGATGCGACACCTAGTGACACCGATTGAACCCATCTGGCATTGAACATCAGTGTCCATAACTTACATTTACCAATCATCGATGTCCATCCACAGAAATATGACATTGATGTACATCCGTTTACAAATGCATCATCTCCACTGTCCTTGCTGGTTGACAATCGAAATTAGTGACATGGGTATGGGTCAATACCTATAGATACATTTTTAATGGGATGGACATCCATAAATCCCAGCTATTTTGGGGTTCACTAGGTACCAGGGTTTTGACTCATAGCCACATGGGTTTGTTGAAAATAGGCTAATTACGCTGAGAAATTTGCTGTAATTTTCAGACAAAGCCTCCAGAACAACTCAGTTGTTCATGTCTACCCTGCCATGAAAATTTCACCTGGCAAAATATCACCCATTGATTAGCGCATCTTGTCAACAAAAAGGGGAATGTCCAATTAGCCATCATTTACAGTTTTTTTTCATTATAGAAATCATTAAATGCACATCTATAGAGGATTTCCAACTAGCCGACTAGCTATGTTGAAGTACCAGAGAGCATTGCCACTCCGTTGATCTCCTGCTGTTCTTGCAACTCTCTGAGGAGTTTCAGTTTCTCCTCACAGAAGCTGACATGTTGGGATGGGTCGTGAAAAAGCAAGCAAAACATGGGATAGCCATGGCTAACCCAAAAATCTATGGTGCATCTTGTCCAATCCGAAATGAGATGGACATTTTTTTGGGCGCTTCAAATGGTTTTCCATGATACAACAGATATCAACGGACATCGCGTCCAACTCATCACAAGCAACCCCCCGGAAAAACAGGACTGAACAAATCCAATACATCCGATTCAGTATCTATTTCGAGGGAGGTATTGTTGGGAATAATCTATACATGTTCTCTTTGTCATGTTCCATGTTTTAGGGTAAAAACTCAACTTGTTTAATGTTTCACGGGGCCAATCCTAAATACAGTACCCTGCAAAAAAAATAAACTACTTTAGCTGTTTGGGTCACTATATCACCATTTAATTCGCAAAAGATTAAGTTGTACCAAACTACACATTCAGTGGCTTTCCCCCCATATCCCATGAATATCCATCATTGGTTGGTTAAATCACCCTTGTCTTTATATCCCCAAAAACTATCCACATGATACTCCCATTTTGGTTCGTTAAATCCCAATGCATCCATCGACCGATTTCCGACGCCTCTCGCAGCTGCTCCAGCTGTTTCTTTGCCTCGTGCTGCGCCGAGCGCAGCTCTTGCAGCTCCTGGCGCTGCGAATTTCGGGGAGAAAATGAATCATCTAGTCATCCAGAAATGGATAGTTGTTTAATCTATAACCTAGAATACACGTCGTCATCTATGATTGTCAATGATTATCTACGATCATCCATAATCATCTATAATCATCTACAAAATTATCTACAAAATCATCTATAGTCAATCATCAGCAATAATATATATATATGAATGGAGAATGCATTGGCGAATTCAGAGAATACCAAATTACCTATGGCACCGGAAAATGAGAGTCGTGTTCACGAGTGCTTAATAAGGTGATAAGGCTAGAACTCATCTTCTATGTATATATACACACATATGTATATATATATATATATAAGTATGCATATGTATATATATATACATATATATATATCATGTATATATATATATCATGTATATATAATATGTATAAATATATATATAATGTATATATATAAGATTATTTATATAATATTATATATATTATGTATATATATATATACATACCTAACCTATATAAGTATGGGGAAGCCCCCTTGTTTATTTTGTCAATTTATCAGTTTATTTATGTCCGCATCAAAGGGCCAACGTTTTCATGGGAATAAAAGTGGGATTTCTCAGCCAGTCAGCCTTGATTACCAGAGCAAAATGATTGGAAATTTTCGGGTTGAAGCGTGAAAAATTATGGCGAGTCGCTTAAACTATTTTCAAACTGTGGGAGTTGACCACAAGATAGGGTTTGACAAATACAATGTCATTGGGGATAATAATCAGGGTTTATTCCCAATTAATATGATCAATAATGGGGATGATAACTTGATAACTGGTTCGTAATTGCCAATCACACTGGGGATCAGTGGTTCTTATAGCCTCGCTCTGAATGGGACAGTTGTGGTCAGGGACCTACCAACCCAGCTTATCAATCACTCACCAGGATCAGCACCAAGCGGTATTTTTCCTTCGAAAACAGGGGGATAGATGGCTCAACTTCCATTCAAAACAGGTCAGTTGCGCCATGTATGTCCCTAAAAATGACTTTTTTTTGCAACAGATATGATTTTCATCATGTTTTGTCCAATACATGCACAAGAGATGTGTGTTCCACCAAAAAAAAGGTAAGCACAACGCAAAAATAAAATCCAGAGGGGCCCAACCTAAAGCTACTCCACCAGCTGCTTTTTGGACAGCACTTTTCATGACCCATGTCTGAAAAATGAAATCATAGGGATCTGACTTACTCAAAACTCATGATAGACACCTGTTGAAAAACATTCTTAAAAATAGTTCAGGGCCAAGCCCATTGATTTAATTTTTGAGCACCATACAGGGATCGAAAACCCATCATGCAATTCACCACTTCTTGTGCTCCAAGTCTGAACCAACCCTTGTTCAAAGGGAAATCCCGTGCCATCCTTCGCCCATGACACATGGCCTGAGCCACCCTTGTGTGCTTCTCACGCAACGCTCCTCGGCTGCATCATCCCAAACAGCTGACGTTTTAGCAACCCACAAGCAGATCCTTGTGGCTCCCATTTCGGGGCTTGCACTTGACATCGTGTCCATATTTAGACCATATTTAGATAATTTTAGATAGCTTCAAATTTTCATTCTTTTCCCATGAAGAATCTGTCATGGGCCAACTACTCTTTTGTTCTCCCTCAACTTCAAGTGGTCTCACCTCCCGCCCTTTTGCTTCAAAAATGTGTGCCATCGTCAGCAACAAAAAGCCGTGTTCTCCCGTAGCATCCCACTTTTTTTTGGCCAATCAGCTCACGGATCACTCAATTCTCCAACCAACCTTCTTTAAGTGGATTTTAATCATGTTTGGGTCCTTTATTCAGATTGTTTTAGTTCGAAGAGATAAATCAATACATATTCTTCCATGCCAGTTTACCCACAAAATCACGTTGTTCAGAAAATCACGTGCCCCTTTTTCGAATGACCATACAGTAAATTGTAGCAAAATGCGTCATTTTTGGACAACCCCAAACCAGTATTTCAATGATTCCATTATAAAAAATATCATTACAAAATCATGTTACCATCTTTAAAGAATGCCATGCCACTAGCATCAATACATTGCATCTATACTTTGTCCCATGAGTGGAACCCTGTCGAGATGCTCAGCTGATTCGTGAGTTGTTTCTCCGCTTTCTCCGCTTCGATCTTCACTTGGTCAAACTTCTCCGTCAGCTCCTTGTTGGCCGATTGCAGTTCCAGATGATCCACGCGCATCTTGTTCAGTTTCACCTGCATGGCCTGGCAGAACTGGAACATGACGCTGGAGCTGTCCGAAAAATGGGGAAACAGCAAAACAAATGGCGGAGTTGATCAAGTTTACCATGGAAAATCCACACATGCAGGGCTCCAACCAAAAATGGAGACTCAGCAGGCAGCGGTGAAACTGCAACGTGGATTTTGAGCATCGAACGTGGAGGTTTGATCCAAACATGGGACTATCACCAGCAAATTTGATGCTTCTGACAAACCACCCATGCAGGTCCACAGCTGGTCGGTGCTTGAAAAAAAATATACTTGGAATAAAATATCAGGGTGCCGGGAGGGAGGGTGGAAAAACGTACCGGCTGCGGCTCACCACGACTGAGGACTGACGTAAAATTTTCCACAGACGCATGCGAACATGTGAATAATATGTGTGTGTGTATATATATATATATGGATGGATGGATGGATGGATGGATGGATGGATGTATATGTATATATATATATATGTATATGTATATGTATATGTATGTGTGTGTATTACATGCCAAAATTCTCTGTGCTTCAACTGCAAATTATACCGTCGAATAATTCCATCAGGGGTGTCAGCCACTGGGTCTCCAGCCTGATATTGCTCCTGCATTCTGCCCAGCTGCTCCTTGACAAACAGGGAAAATGAGTGGCGGGGGCCTGCATATCATTGAAGATTGCCTTAGGTTTGCCCAAAAATTGCTAATTTAAACCCAATATATGGCAAGTTTAAGGAAAATGGTGATCAACCATCAAATTCGGGGGTTCCCGACAAAACTTCAGAGAAACCCACTTGGGCCTAATGAATCAGATTGAGATAAAAATCTCACTTGCAATCTCTATGAAAAGGTAATCCTTCGAGGAAGTCCAAAGCTACTATTGCTTGCCTTGCCAGGCAATCTCAACTCTCCACACTTATGGAATCACATCAGTTCCTCAATGTTTGTCCCTCGCTCCCCAAGCTCCTCAAGGAAGTCAGCACGTTTGTCTTCCTTTTCGATCACCACAGGCGGCCGATTCTGCAGTTTCTCGTACTCATTTGACAGCACCATGTAGTCCTCGGGCTGGTCGGGTGGAGCAAAAGCAGGAGATCCCTGCAGCATCTGGATGTGGCCATTTCTTGCTGGCTTCGTATTTTTTTCTGGGAAACCAAAAGCAACAAAGTTGACCCAAACCCCTTGCCAAGAAATGTCTAGAAAACGTTGGCTTTAACAGGTTTAACGCGTTTTTTTGAGTGGGCTCACCTCCATTCACCCAAGTTGGGGATGGGTCAAAACCCTGGTACCTAGTGAACCCCAAAATAGCTGGGATTTATGGATGTTCATCCCACTAAAAATGTATCTATAGGTATTGACCCATACCCAGTTCATTATTGATTATCATGATTAACCACTATTAACCACTATTAATATAGATTATCCCATGATTATCCCACTATTAACCATTATTAACCATGAAACGGGACGCCTCTTGCAGCTGCTTGTAGTCCGTTTCCAGCGCCACCATGCGTTCCAAGTCGTCGGAGCTGGCCGACTGCCCGAAGACCGCGCGCTCCAACGCAGCGATTCCTCGGGGGATCTGAGCAAGAAATAGATAGGGATCGGCTGGGGAGATAGTGGGATATGTCTATATATATACTGTATAATTATATTATATATACTGTATAATTATATTATATATATATATTATATATTATTATTAACCTGATATGATGTGAATGGATGTGTGTGAATTTTAGTGATATACCCATATGAAAAAAACTCCGAAGTTATGGCCCCCTCTTAAGAGCGAAGTTTGGATGCTAGGCCGGGCGGGATGCGAGACCTGTGGAGATCACCACAGCATCCAGCATTGGTTCTATCGCTGCTTTGGCTTTGCGAAAAGTGCCCAAGTTTGAATGCTGGGTGGAAATGTTGATGGATACCTACCTAAAATTTATCACTTTCTTTTTGATACCCATCCAAAACGTTGATCATTTCATACCTACTGGTTTTTTTTCCAAAAGTGATGGAAATGTTGATGGAAATGAGTGCCATGTTGCTCATCTTCTACCAAAGAATGATCAACGCTCCGGATCCCGCTGGGCAATTTTTAATTCACCAACCCAGAGCCCAACCAAACTATAAATTTGAGATGATATCCGCATATACAAATCAATTATTATTACCATTATTATTACTATGATTTATTATTATTATCATATTTGTTATTTATACTTATGTGTTATTATCATCATTGTAATATGTAATTGTTAATTTATTATTTGTTACTTGATTATTTGTTAATTTATTGTTATTAGTAGTTGTAATTAGTATTATTATCATGTATATATGTATACATATATATATATATATAATGTAATTATTATATACATACATTAAATATTACATAGAAGAATAACTCACCATTTCCAGCGGTGCCCAGCCCATTTCCAGCAACTCAACGCCCGCCCAACGCCCGCCGAGGATCTGTTGGGCAAGGTGACCTTCTCTGTGTGGCTTGCACCCTCTGAGATCTTCTCCATCTCACTGACCTGGGAGCACTGGGAGCTTTGCCGGTTTCCAATAGCTAGTGGATGACTGGGGGTACCCCATTTTAGGAAACCGGAAAGATGTGTATAATGTGTACATATATGAATGTACATGATTTGACATGTGTTTTTGATATCTGTTTTAATATTGATAATATTGTATAGATAGTATCTCACGTAGGTCACGCCAGAAAATCCACCTGTAGCCACCCACACGGTCCAACACATACACGATGTCATCAGTGTCACCAGAACTCCTGGTCTCCAACCATCAGAAAATCCCTTTCCAAATGTCCAGCCAAGGTACCGTGGCTAGAGCCATGGTCCATACTTTCTCCTGAAGTTTCTCTTTGAGTTTTTCATTTTCCGCCTGGAGCTCCTCCTGACAGCAACCAACAAAGCAAAGTTTCGGGGCACTGCCAGGAGGCGAAAGTGCAACACGTGGCAAAAAAGGACCACACCTTTTGGCCACACTTGATAACTATATAATGGAATTTTAATGGATCCATTTTGGGGTGTCACTGAAAGTAAGAGTCATTCCGACATACTTCCAACAATTGTTCCGGAGAGAAGGACCACCGAGCTTTTGAGGCTTTCACAAGACGCCTCAAACGACCCCTTGAGACTAGTTGTTTTTAAGAGAGTGCAACTGTAGGTTGCTAAAGTCATAGAGATCAAACAGGTAGTCCCTCAGAGACGGTTTGGCTGAGAGAAGACATAGTTCAAGAAGAAGTACTACAGGGAGGAGAGCTAGTTTAGAGAAAAGGCAGCTCAAAGAAGAGTTCGCTCAGGGAAGAGGAGGGTCCTTCTGAGATTAGTCATTCAGTCATTTGTTCATTCATGCATTCAGTTACAGTCAGTCATTCAATCATTCATGCAGGCATTCTCAATCAGCAACCCCTCCAACAGGCTTTCCATGTCATATGGCCATTTACGATTTTCTCATGTTGTTTGCCTCAGTGCGGCCGACATTCTTGAATTGAAAAAGTCCAGAATACAACGTAGCTACAGGGGTTCTGCGCCCTTCTGAGGAGCTTCTTCGTGTGGTATTGACCGTGTCAGCATCCAAAAATGAGGTAGTTGTTAAGAGTTACATACCAAAAAAATATCAACTTGTATACTACTGTTACAGTGACATATCCACTTTAAAGTAGAATTACCCCACTTTTTTGGTGATATCTCCGCATTCTGGTTGCTGCCACAAAGCCACTCCAGCCAAGCGTCCAAGCTCTTATCTGCCATGGCGCAGCTCCCCCGCTCTCCGAAAAATCGCCCCCGGCCCGGGGTCCCCGTTGTTGAGACAAGCTGGGCGTTGCGACGCAGGGGTTCCAAATCTTTGGAACATGGAAACACATGGCTTACAACATGCAGACATCAACTGTGCATGTGTGTGCTTCTGTGTGGTTTCAACTCTCACTCACTCACTCACTCACTCACTCACTCTCACTCACTCTCTCTCTCTCTCTCTCTCCCCACCTAGCTACACCCAGTGCAAGGAAAGCTCAAATAATATGGGCATCCTGGGCCACTTGGCCACATTCCAAATCATTCCCATTCGCATGCGGCACCGATGTTGCCGGGGCGGCCCACCTCCGGTAGACCTCTTGGATCTCTTCTTGAACCTACGTTGAATTGGGCCCAATACAAAAACCGAAGAAAGTCAGAAATGGTGTTGTCTGAAACATGAGTACTCCAAAATTTGATGGTTAATCTTTATAATACTAACAATAAAAATATTAAGAGTAAGAGTAATAATAACAATAATAATCCTCCTCATCATCATCATCATCATCAAAGTTGCATTTTTTGGGGTGTATACCTCTATTCCAGACAAGCCCAAATGGCAGTTCAAGAGGCGATATCTTGTCTATGGAAGCATCCTGAAGCCCTGCAATCTTTCACAGAATTGATGTCATCTGAACCACTGGGATTTTCGCTGGACAACCAAGGCGTTCAAACCTGGGCAATTGACGTCCTAAGTAGCCACAATCCTTTAAATATATTTTGGATATTAATATGATATTAAGATGAAATAGGCATATGATACCATGATATATGCTCATACACATACATACCATATATGTTAATATATATACACACACCTGCATATGGATCTATATATATATGTATCTTGGTTGTTTATCTATATCTATAGATAGGTAGATAGATAGATAGAATAGATGGATTAGATAGATGAGATAGATTAGATTGATTAGATAGATTTGATAGATTAGATAGATTAGATAGATTAGATAGATTAGATACACTAGATAGACTAGATAGACTAGATAGACTAGATAGAGCAGAGAGATTAGATAGATTAGATAGATTAGATCGAATACATAGATTAGACAGATTAGATAGATTAGATAGATTAGATAGATTAGATAGATTAGATAGAATAGATAGATTAGATAAGATTAGATAAGATTAGATAAGATTAGATAAGATTAGATCAGATTAGCTAAGATTAGATAAGATTAGATAAGATTAGATAAGATTAGATCAGATTAGCTAAGATTAGATAAGATTAGATAAGATTAGATAAGATTAGATAAGATAGATCAGATAGACAAGATACATAAGATAGATAAGAAAGAAAGATAGATAGATAGATAGATGGATAGATTGATTAGATTAGATAAGATTAGATAAGATTAGATTAAGATAAGATCAGATAAGATTAGATTAGATAGATAGATAGATACACGTTTTCACATATAGTCACATAATGACATATATTCATTTGTATATATATATATACTGATATAATGATGCATATCTATATATATATATGCATATATTATATTTGATACGTATATATACATATATTATGTATATATATATTATGTGTATATATATAATACGTGTATGTGTATATACATATGTATTATGTATATATGATATCTATAATATATGTAGTATATTAATATACCATTTTGGTACTAAACAATACCATACTTTAGTGATACCTCACGCAGGCTGTTGTGCATATCGTTGTGCAGCGCGCCTGGTGGAAGCACTGCATAAACTTCTCTCGTCGTTGGCAACGAAGCTCTTCAAAGCTCCGCTCGACGGCCTCGCCACGACTCGGCAAGTAATAGCGACCAAAACCCGTCGAAACCCGTCGAAACCTATTAAAATCCAATGATTGATGAGGAATGAATATGTTAATATGAGGTAATCATGTTTCATCATAATTCCTATGAGGTAATCATGTTTCATCATAATTCCTATGAGGTAATCATGTTTCATCAATAATGTTTCATCAATAATTGATCAATAATTGAGGTAATCATGTTTCATCATAATTCCTATGAGGTAATCATGTTTCATCAGTAATGTTTCATCAATAATTGATCAATAATTGGGGTAATCATGTTTCATCATAATTCCTATGAGGCAATCATGTTTCATCAATAATGTTTCATCAATAATTGATCAATAATTGAGGTAATCATGTTTCATCATAATTCCTATGAGGTAATCATGTTTCATCAACAATGTTTCATCAATAATTGATCAATAATTGAGGTAATCATGTTTCATCATAATTCCTATGAGGTAATCATGTTTCATCAATAATGTTTCATCAATAATTGATCAATAATTGAGGTAATCATGTTTCATCATAATTCCTATGAGGTAATCATGTTTCATCAATAATGGTTCATCAAGAATTGATCAATAATTGAGGTAATCATGTTTCATCATAATTCCTATGAGGTAATCATGTTTCATCAATAATGTTTCATCAATAATTGATCAATAATTGAGGTAATCATGTTTCATCATAATTCCTATGAGGTATCAATGGTTCATCATCAATAATGTTTCATTCATCAATAATTGATCATAATTGAGGTCAATCATGTTTCATCATCATAATTCTATGAGGTAATCAGTTTTCATCATAATGTTTCATCATATTGATCAATAATTGAGGTATCATGTTTCTCATAATTCCTATGAGGAAGCATGTTTCATCAATAATGTTTCATCTCAATATTATCAATAATTGAGTTAATCATGTTTCATCATAATTCCTATGATGGTAATCATGTTTCAATCATCATCAAATGGTTCATCAATAATAGATCAATAATTGAGGTTAACATGTTTCATCATAATTCCTATGAGGTAATCATGTTTCATCATAATTCCTATGAGGTAATCATGTTTCATCAATAATGTTTCATCAATAATTGATCAATAATTGAGGTAATCATGTTTCATCATAATTCCTATGAGGTAATCATGTTTCATCCATAATGGTTCATCAATAATTGATAAATAATTGAGGTAATCATGTTTCATCATAATTCCTATGAGGTAATCATGTTTCATCAATAATGTTTCATCAATAATTGATCAATAATTGAGGTAATCATGTTTCATCATCATAATTCCCTATGAGGTAATCATGTTTCATCAATAATGTTTCACTCAATAAATTGATCAATAATTGAGGTAGATCATGTTTCCTCAGAATTCCTATGAGGTAATCAGGTTTCAATATATGGTTCATCAATAATTGATCAATAATTGAGTAATCATGTTTCATCATAATTCCTATGAATGAGGTTTAACATGGTTTCATCTATGTTTCACAATATTGATCAATAATTGATGTAATCATTTTCCATCATCAATCATCATAATTCCTATGAGGTAATCATGTTTCATCAATAATGTTTCATCAATAATTGATCAATAATTGAGGTAATCATGTTTCATCATAATTCCTATGAGTTAATCATGGTTCATCAATAATGTTTCATCAATAATTGATCAATAATTGAGGTAATCATGGTTCATCATAATTCCTATGAGGTAATCATGTTTCATCAATAATGTTTCATCAATAATTGATCAATAATTGAGGTAATCATGTTTCATCATAATTCCTATGAGGTAATCATGTTTCATCAATAATGTTTCATCAATAATTGATCAATAATTGAGGTAATCATGTTTCATCATAATTCCTATGAGGTAATCATGTTTCATCAATAATGGTTCATCAATAATTGATAAATAATTGAGGTAATCATGTTTCATCATAATTCCTATGAGGTAATCATGTTTCATCAATAATGTTTCATCAACAATTGATCAATAATTGAGGTAATCATGTGTCATCATAATTCCTATGAGGTAATCATGTTTCATCAATAATGTTCATCAATAATTGATCAATAATTGAGGTAATCATGTTTCATCATAATTCCTATGAGGTAATCATGTTTCATCATAATTCCTATGAGGTAATCATGTTTCATCAATAATGTTTCATCAATAATTGATCAATAATTGAGGTAATCATGTTTCATCATAATTCCTATGAGGTAATCATGTTTCATCCATAATGGTTCATCAATAATTGATAAATAATTGAGGTAATCATGTTTCATCATAATTCCTATGAGGTAATCATGTTTCATCAATAATGTTTCATCAATAATTGATCAATAATTGAGG